TTTATCAGTTTCAAAAGGAAGAACACATTCATCATAACAAAAAAAAAAAAAAAAATCTCATTCACCAACAAAAAAAAACATTCATCAGACAAAATGGACTGAACAATTTTTTTTCTTGATTTTTCATTCATTTTCCAACGAATACAAATCTTAACATCAGATCTAAAGAAAGTAAACAGACAAACACGGTGAAATTTTGAAAGAAAAACAGATCTGGATCTGGTGGAAGGAATCCCACCCACGGGATCAAGCTTCCACCATCTCCTTCCCCATTTTCCTAACAAAAATCCTCTGTTCAGAGCTATACGTCTTGCAACTCATAAATCTTCTTTCTCAAACACCAATCTTCCTTCAACTGAAAAAAAAAAACTCTTAGGCCGCCCGTCAATAGCACACTCAGAAACAAGAGAACCCACCCAAAATCAAACAGCCAAAATAAACCAAAAGACCCCCAAACCTCTGCCTTGTGCTCTATATATACACCCAAAAAAAAAGATAAAAATAAAAATAAAATGCAACAAAAAAACAGGGGCCTTACTCTGTCAATCAATGATGCCAATTTTGTTTGGTATTGGCTGTTTTTTTCGTATGGCTGTAGTGTGCAGAAGGCAGGGGCATGGGATTGGGACGCAAAGCAAGGCTGGTGCAGGAAGCAAGGCCGGGCGGCAAGGGCAGGACTCAGTGCAGCAGAGGGGGGTGGGGGGGTATGATGGCTCGGGCGTGCAGGGCATGATTGCCGGTGATGGCTGGTGCAGAGTGCAGGCGATTTGGGCACAGAAAGGGGCAGGAGATTTGGTGCAGCAGAGGGGCGTAGGGGGGGTCTGATGGCTCGGGCGTGCAGGGCATGATTGCCGGTGATGGCTGGTGCAGAGTGCAGGCGATTCGGGCGTAGAAAGAGCAGGAGATCTGGTGTAGAAGGCGCGGGATTGGGGCCAGGTTCGGTGCAGGGCAGGTGCAGGAACAAGGCTGGTTCGTGGTAGCAGAGGGGTGAAGGCAGCAGGGCTAGGGGTCTGGGCTCGGTGCAGGGCAGGTGCAGGCTGGTTCGTGTAGAGTGGGGGTGGCTGATGATGGCTCGGCATGTGGCTGCCGGCTGGTTTGTGGGGAGGGAAGGCAAAGGGGAAAATCAGGGTCAGGACGAAGAAGGTTCCAGATCCATTTTTATTTCCCCTTTCTTTTTTCTTTTTGGGTTTTGGGTTTGGGTTTTGGGTTTTGTTTTGGGATTTTGGGCTTGGGTAGTTGGTAAGCTTTGGGTTTTTGGAGTGGGCTTTAGTTTTTTTGGTTTTTTGATTTTTGACTTCAATGCATTTTACCCTTCAACTTTTAATCTCTTCAATTAAGTCCCTTCTTTCTTCTTCTCCCACTTTTCGTGAAATTTCTTTTTGCTTGTAAACCTAACAATGAAAGTAAAAATTAAACATATTAATTAAGATAATAAAAACTAGAATAAAAATAAAATTTTAAAAATTTTGAGTTATAACAGTATGCTAAGCCTTATTCTCGCAAGACTATTAATCTTTGCCTACTAGATGGCTACTAGCCACCAAAATCCAAAAGTTCAGTGGGATGGGCAACCCAAGGTAATACATCACCCATTTTGTTGAGAAATGCAACAATGCTAGCATCTATGAGAACCTCATGGTGAAATAGTTTGTTTGGTCCTTGGAGGATGTAGCCTTTGAATGGTACACTAACCTTCTTGTTGGGTTAATGGATAGTTAGAAGCAACTAAAGCAGGAATGCTTGATATGATTTTACAATACCAAGCGTATTGTTAACCTACCTAAGCTTGCTAACACCAAGCAAAAGAAAGATGAGTATGTGACAAACTTCATTGAAAGATGGAGAAACCTTGTCCTAAACTATAAGGAAAAGATTAGTAAGGCTTCTTCTATTAATATGTGTGTATAGGATATGCATTAGGGACTATTGTACAACCTCCAAGCTAACATGCCACATACCTTTGAACCCATGCCCATGACTTGGAAATTCAAATTGCTAGGCATGGTAACATTCTTGTAAGATCTCACAGCAAAACTTTAAGCCAAATTCTAAGCAAGGTGTCAAGATTGTTAAAGATTAAGGCCAAAAGAAGAAGTTTACATTAAAAGAGTTGCAACAAAAGGAGTATCCATTTACAGACTCTAAAGTACTCACTATCTTTGAGCAATTGTTGGCACTCTTGATTGAACTTCTAGCTCCTAACTACCTAGAGGAAGCAAGGCAAGTGAAACCCAAAATACTGTAAGTATCACCGAATTGTGAGTCATTCAATTAGTAAGTCTTTTGTGTTGAAGGATTTGATAGTTCGTCTTGTGAAAGAAAGGAAAATTCAACTAAAAAGTGAAGAAGGAACTGTTACCACTAATGTTGCCATGATCTTTTTTGGCTCCTTCAGTCCAATTCCACTCCTATTTGTGCAACCAACCCCACCAATTGTTCAACCTATAGAGTTCAGTCCCCACCTATCTAAGGGGGTAATTCAAGTTAAGTTTCAAACAGACGATGAAAAGATGATAACTTATGTTTATACTGGCATATCTACTTTTGGAGGCCTAGGCAATCTTTCCTTATTTGACCTTATGACAATGAATCTTAAAGATTAGGAATCATCGTCTGAGTCAGAAGATGAGGTTGGTGATGGTTGGTCAACTTTCATCAATAAAAGAAACATCTTTAATTCAATCTTTAGTGGAATATCACTCCCAATTCGCTACAAGGTCATGTATGGTATCTACTTAGAGATAAAGCCAATCAAAGGGTGTTCAAACTTTGAGCTTCCTACTCTTGACTATGATGATGATGGGTGGATTCCAATCCATTCACAGAGAAGGAGGGGTCGTTCAAAGCACACACTACTAACCTTCCAACAAAATCAGTCATTGTTACCAACTTTACTAATTCCATAAAAAAAATCAAGAAAGGCATCAAGTAAAGCAAAAGAGCTTGCAACCAAGGTGTAGACAAGTTCCTAAGGAAAGAAAGTCACCATCTGAGGAAGGGATGAATTCAAAACAAAGAGCTATAGTTTCTTTCCATGAATACTTTCTAAGGAGATCTTTTTTTTTATAAGGTGGTATCTATTAATGTCACTAATTTTATGACAGAAAACAAACCATCACTTAAAGAAGATGCTGAGAGTTCCAAGAGTCAATCAAATGATCTTGAAGTTAAAGGAAGTATGGAGAAATTAAAACAATTTTCGTTTGACTTACAGTTCTCCAAAGTCTTGTAGCTTCCATGGAATACACGCCTTGCCCTTGTACAAGCTATGTTATATCCGAAAAGGTTCTAAGATAAGTTTGCCAAGCCAGAAACTAAGGTTGAGTGCTTAACAACAATAACTTTCACTAATAAAGACTTACAGCTTGGAGCCCAAAAACATAACAAACCTCTTTACATTAGTAGTGTTGCTTGACATTCGAGATCACAAGGTGAATCAAATTCTGATCGATAATGGATCAACATAAAGCCAATTTACACTATGAAGAGGATTGAGGTAACTATTGATGAATTGACTAGCAATAAACTCATAATCTAAGGCTTTAACCATAAAGGCCAATGTGCAATCGGCAATATTCGCATTAATTTCCAAATTGCAAATATGGCAACCTCAACTTTGTTCTATGTCATAGAGGCTAAAATGTCATGTGAGCTCATTTTGGGACAAACATAGATTCATGAAAATGGGGTAGTTCCATCAACTTGGCATCAATATTTTAAATATCACTTTGATGGCAAACAAAAGTGTGCTATGGTTGAGAAAGAGCCTTTCACTAAAGAGGAGTCTCACTTTGTTGATGACAAATTTTTTGAAAAGGAAGAAGATGATTCTAAAACTCTTGCTACTAGGATGCCACAAATAAAGCAAACGAATAATGAAAAAATCATTGTTTGCCCTATGAAGGATCTTTCCTTTAGTTCTAAAGTTCATCTTTCAATTGAGAATTTGAAGGTGCTTAAAGAAGACCTTATGCTTCCATTGTTAGTAGTCTTTAAGTTAGGTATCCCTAACCCAATTATAAAGGAGGTGGTTGAAACAACCATAGAATATGAAAAGCAACATTAAGGATGGTTTGATCCACACGCTCAAATGTTGTTAAAAAGGTCTGGGTTCAAAAAAGAAGAGTCTTGACAACTTGGGGATTTAAACTCTATCCTTATAAGCACTCAAGCAATCCAAATTGGAAAGGAGACTATATTAAAGGGAAAACTTGTACCAAAGCAAAGGCATGGGCTTTGATTTCAATCATCTAAACCTGCAAAGATTAGGATAAAAAGAAAGTTAACCAATCCAATTACCATTTAGATTTTTGAAACCAACGAGGTCAAAAGGACTACAACCATAAGTTTCAGCCTTAGAAAGGATTCAGCAAGAGAATGTCTGAGTATTAGTCTTTGAAAGACTAAGGCTTGCTCCTTTACTACCAACAATCCAAATGGATCCTTCTCAAAAGCCTTCAGTCTTTTCTAGCTTAGTGCTAAACTACAAAACAACAAGAAAGTGTTTATGAGTTGAAAAGGTCAAAAGAACAAGAACAAATATACCCGAAGAAAGAAGTTTCAATGAAGGCGTAAAGATGTTCTTGATGGGCAAGAGATCTTAAAACACTACTAGCAAATCACCCTAATTCGGTCAAGAAAACTAACCAAAAAATAAGACAATTTGACTAAAAATGTCTTAGCTCGGTCATTACCAATGACCAAATTGTTGGCCCGAATATGCTCTGAATGAAATATGATTTCGGAGAGAATTTCATCTTGACCAAAATAGTAAGTTATTTCGGTTAATCTTAATGACCGAAACAATGGTGGAGAAATCATTAATTAAATCCAATATCTCAGTCCAATATTATGACCGAACTAGTTAAATACTATTTAATTAATTGTCGGTCAAATAACTGACCGAACTACCAACGGAGAACAAATTTTTCCTTCCCTTGTTTCGGTCAAGATGAATGACTGAATTAATAAATAAGGTCATTTTTGGTAATATAGGAGGTTTACTTCGGTCAATAAACCTAACTGAAGTAATTCCCGAAAATATGATCTTCCTCACCAAAATTTCTAAAATAATTGTAATTTTTGATCAAATAATATGACCAAATTAGTAATTCTTGAAATTTAAAAAAAAACAGTTATTTCGGTTATTATTTTTGACTGAATAAATAGGCAGATTCAAAAAATTTTATTTAATTAATATTATAGTAAATTAAAAAAATTAATTTTTGGCATTAAAAAGCTGAATTTTAACATCATGAAGTTATACATAACTCTTATGTATTTAATTAATTTATTGTTTTGCATATAGTTTTTAATTTAATTAATTTAATATTTTGTATGTAGTTTTTAATTATGATTAAATTTCAAATTATATAAAAAATATTTAAGATTTTGGCAAAACAATCCAACGTAATTACAAAAATAAATGAAAATGATATATATAATCAAAAAACTTATGCATTAAAAACATATAAATAAAAATAACTAAATATATTAAAACTTAAAAATTGAGGATAAAAATTGAATTATATTACAAAATTACCTTAAAAAAAGGTTGTCCCATTCTCCATCAACTTAAAGAACCTTCAAAAAAAAAAAAAAAATCATTAGTATACAATTAAAACAACAAAAAACATAAGATTAGAGAAAATGAATACAATTTCACATAATTAAACATTTAACAAAGTGAAAGTAAAACTGAAAAGAAAGAAATGAGGATTAGTTTTGGTACGTTAAACATAAATAAAAGTTAAAAAGAAATAATAATTGTGATGAATATGAATATTTAGAACAATAATGAAAAGATGAAGTAGTGAATGCTTAGAAGAATAAGGAGCAAAGGTAGAGAAGGAAAGAAAGAATGAAAACAGAGAAGTAAGAACAAAATGAAAAAATAGTTACAAAAATCATAGGAAGACATTGGATTGATGTTTATATAGATTGAGACTTATTTTGGTCATTTTTATTGACCAAAATAAAGAGGTGGAAAATTCAAACATGTTGAGGGTTAAAGGTTAAGCGGGAAGGCACGGATCACAAATTAATTTGATCAATAACTATGACTGAATTAAAATGTAACAGGACAATTCAAAATTTTCACCAATTTCAAGGGAAAAACCTTTAGTTCGGTCATTATTATTGACCGAACTAAATTTTTATGCAGCTCTTTTTTTTTCGTTTGGTTCGGTCATTAGTATTGACCAAACTAAAGGTTTTATGGTGCCTTTTTTTTAACCTTTAGTTCGGTCATTAGTATTGATCAAACTAAAGGTTTTATGGCGCCCTTGTTTTTTTACCTTTAGTTCGGTCATCTGTTTTGACCGAACTGAATTTATATGTTGCTCCTTTTTTTTTTTCCCTTTAGTTCGGTCATTAGTATTGACCAAACTATATTTTCATGCCGCCCTTTTTTTTTTTTTCT